GAAGGCTCCAAGCCACCTCACCATAGAATCCCTACAATATGGTAGCAGGCCATTTGGCCCATCGAGTCCACATCGACCTCCAAACAGCACCCACCCAGACCCATCTCCTATCCCATCCCCACAACCCCACATTTCCCATACCTAACTCACCTAGCTTGCACATCCCTGGACACCATGGGCAATTTAGCACGGCCAATCCACCCTAACCTGCACATCTTTGGACTGTGGAAGGAAACCGGAGCACCCAGAGGAAACACACGCAGACACGGGGAGAATGTGAAAACTCCACACAGACAGTCTCCTGAGGCTGGGATTGAACCCGGGTCCCTGGCGCTGTGAGGCAGCAGTGGTAACCACTGAGCCACTGTGCTTTGTTATCTGCGCCATTCAACAGTATCCATAGAAGGGGGAGTCTCCCTGTTCTGCTCCTCCAGTGGTGCTGGTAGTCCCAAAGTACCAGAGGATGTCCTTGAAACAGTATCAGACATTTCTCACATCCACCTGTCAGGAAAATGGGATATTACCTAAAAGATGACACCTTTCAATACCTCAGCCTTCATGTAACACTAACAGTGTAGAGGAGCAACACATACCTACAGGAGGTGACTGCTTCTTAGCAGCTACATGAAGACAAACGTGAACTCCAGTAGTTCCCTAAACAATTTTCACCTTCTGAAGCAGAACCTCAATAACTTCACAATGTACAGGTAATTAGGGGTGCATTTACACTACACCATCTTACAGGCCAAAAAGAAACGTAGTCTTAAATTTTGTGTGGCCAATTTATACATCAGATTTAACACAATCATATGAGAGATGATTGCAGAGGTATACATAACCACCATTTTCCACCATTCTGTAAAGACAGACATGCTGTCTGAACCTTTCATCTTGCACTCATCAGCACAGAATTGCAAGAATACAAAATTTCACAGGGAAAAATTTATTCTGCATGTAAAGAGGATGTTGACTGATTGGCAAGTGGACTCTGAGTGGTAGATGCATTGCCATGAGAACCCACCAGGAAACATGTAACTTCCAAACTTTTGTCTAAATACAAACCTGGCAAATTGACTCCAGTTGGTCAGTGCATTTCCATGGGGAACACTCCAGGGAATGGCTGTACCTTTTGGTTGAAAAAAAAACACAAAGCTTGGATGTGTCTTTTCTGTTTGCTAGGTGGACAATGTGTGCAAATGTATCTTCTTTTACAGTAATACTCAAGTTCTATACCACTTAGCAACTATTAGTCTTGAATGTTGACAGAACACAAATATAATTCGAGGTTCTGATGGACATTTCAGTGGGTGCTTATGATTTCTTTTAGCCCAACTAGTCCAAAAAATTCCTTTTCACTCATCTCTCTGTCATTTGCTTAGTTATATTCATTCAGAAACTATGAGCATCACTGCAAAATATCACGACTTGTCAGTATGTTGGGACAAGAGTTATAAAATGTAGATGTTGGTGTGTTTGCCGAGCTGGGAGGTTATTTGATAGCAGATGTTTCGTCCCCTTACTAGGTGACATCCACAGTGCTGTGGAGCCTCCTGTGAAGCGCAGTTATCTTGTGCCGGTTCAAATCTTTATGGACTGGTTTTTGTTGTTTCCGGTAGGTGCTGGTTCCAGCTATGCTTTGTAATGGTCAGTATATCGGGTCTAATTCAATGTGTTTGTTGATGGAGTCCACGGATGAATGCCAAGCCTCCAAGAATTCCCTGGCTGTCTTCTGTTTGGCTTGTTATGTTGTCCCAGTTGAAAAAGTGTGGTCTTTCTCGTTTGTGTGTATTGAAACCAAGGACACCTGGTCGTGTTCTGCTAGCTGGTGTTCGTGGATGCGGGTTGCCAGTTGTCTGCCTGTTTGTCCAACATAGCGTTTTGTGTAGTATCCGCATGGTATCCTGTAAAGTACATTCGTACTGTCCATGGTCTCTACTGGGTCTTTAACCTTGGTTAGTTGCTGTCTTAGTGTGGTTGCCAGTTTGTGTGCTGTCAGGATTCCCACTGGTCAGAGTAGTCTGGCTCAGTTCTGAGGTTTTTTTTTAATATATGGGATAGTGGTTATTGTTTCAGGTTTTGGTGTGACCTGGTTATGTTGTTTGTTGGCTAGGCATCTGTGGATGAAGATGCAGGGGTCTCCATTCCTGGTAAAGACCTTGTAGAGGTGTTGTTCTTCCTTCTGCACATTGAGTGTGCTGCAGTGTGTAGCGGCCCATTTGAACAGGGTCCTAACGCAGTTCCACCTGTGAGAGTTGGGCTGGTTGCTGTGATAGTTTAAGACCTGGTCAGTATGTGTGGATTTCCTGTATACTTTAGTAGTGAAGTCACCATTCTCTTTTCTTTTCACCATCACGTCCAGGAATGGGAGTTTGTTGTTGTTGTTTTACTCTTCTCTTGTAAATTTGATCCCTGTGAGTATGGTGTTGATGAGTCGGTGGGCATTCTCAATTACTGTTCTTTTCATAATTACAAAAGTGTTGTCCACGTATCTGATGCAGAGCTTGGGTTGGATCTGTGGGAGGGCTGTTTGTTCCAGTCTTTGCATGGCTGCCTCAGCTATCAGTCTGGAGATGGGTGAGCCCATGGGTGTCCCATTGATCTGCTCATATATCTTGCTGTTGAATGTAAAGCGTGTTGTTAAGCATAAGTCCAGTAGTTTGAGTATGTAGTGTTTGTTGATCTGTTCCTCGTTTTGTCATCTGTGATGTTTGTCTAGTAGGTTGGATAGGGTTTCTTTGGCTAGGTTTCTGTCGATTGATGTAAACAATGCTGTTACATCGAATTAGATCATTTCTTTGTCTATTTGTGTTCTTGATGTTGTCCAGGAATTCTTATGTTGATTGTATGGAGTGTCATGAACTACTGATAGATGTTTAAGCTTTTGTTGTAGTTCCTTCGCTAATTTGTGTGATGGGGTTCTTGGTAGAGCCACAATCGGTCTGAGGGGTATGTCAGGCTTGTGGACCTTAGGCAGTCCATTGAATCTTGGAGTGTTGTTGCCTTCCGGTTTCATCCTTTGTAATTCTGTTTTTGTTATCTGTCCTGTTTTGTGTGCGTTCTGTAGTGTATTGGTTATTCTGTCTGTTAGCTGTGGTGTGGGGTCCCACTCCCTCTGTTGGTAGGTTTGAGTATTGGCAAGTAGTCCTTCGGTTTTTCTTGTATAATGACTTTTTTGTCCTTTTGAGGTTCTTCAGGGCATCCCTTTCCTCTTTGTTAAGTGTGTTTGTCTGTGTTCTCTTTGTCAGTAGGGATTCAATGGTCTGTCTAATCATTTGTTGTTTCTTCGTTTAGTCCGTTGTTTCTGAGCGTGGATTCTAGTACTGCCAGAAAGTCTGTTTTCTCAGCATCTCTGTGATTGTAGTTCAGTCCTTTGATTAGTAATTTTTTTTCTGTATCTACGTGCTGTCTGTTGGAGAGGTTTCTTATCCATTTGTCAGTCATGTTGTCCCCTCTGTTGTTGGTCAAATTGGTCATTTTTTTTTCTGTAGTGCTGTTCCTTTTTCAGTGTGTGGTCCAGTTCTGTGTTATTTTGATTGCCTGTTCAATTCTCATAGTTTGGTTGTTTTTGAAATTGACAACTTTTGGCGCTGATTTCTTGTTTGTACTTATGGAGTCTGATGTGCGCATCTGTGATCATGACTTGTATCATCCTGCGGCTGTTCTGTCTGGTTGTTTTTCTGGCTTGTGGGTTATTAACTGGCGGGCTGTCCCTTAAGCATGGTGGTAGTAGTTTTTTGTGGTACTCGAGTAGGAATCTGAGTTGTTTATATGTGGTGCTTAGTTGGTTGGACAGGATTCCCACTTCCCTTGTTTGCTTTACCATCTCACGCCCGTAGGTGTTCAGGGTTTCAGTGCAGATTTGTAGCTTGGGCGCTGGTTGTAGATGTTGGTGTGTTTGCCGAGCTGGGAGGTTTGATAGCAGACGTTTTGTCCCCTTACTCGGTGACATTCTCAGTGCTGTGGAGCCTCCTGTGAAGCGCTGCGGTCTTGTGCTGGTTCGAATTTATACGATAGCAGGAACTGCCGATGCTGGAGAATCTTGAGATAACAAAGTGTAGACCTGGATGATCTGGCCTGCTGTGTTCATCCAGCTGTACACCTTGTTATCTCGAATTTATATGGTCTGGTTTTCGCAACTCTGGCTGTGCATTGTAATGGTCGGTATATCGGGTCTTACTCAATGTGTCTGTTGATGGAGTCCGCGGATGAATGCCAAGCCTTCAAGAGTTCCCGGGCTGTCCACAGCCGGAACGGGCACCTACCGGAAGCAGCATAAACCAGACCATATAAATTCAAACCAGCACAAGACAACTGCGCTTCACAGGAGGCTCCACAGCACTGAGAATGTCACCTAGTAAGAGGACAAAACGTCTGCTATCAAACCTCCCAGCTCGGTGAACACATCAACATCTACAACCAGCACCCGAGCTACAAATCTTCACTCAAACCCTGAATTATAAAATGTGGCACACAAACTGTTATTTTATGTTAACAGGAAACAAGAACAAAAATGCTGAAAATCCTCTGGAGTTCATTAAGCATCTGTGCAGAAAGAGAGAGAGTTAATGTTTCAGATCGAGGACCGAATTCTCTGATTTTCTCTCTATAGATGCTGCCACAGCCTGCTGAGTGTTTCCAGCATTTCACTTATTTGAGATTTCTAGAATCAGCAATATTGTTTTTCAATTAGGAAACAATCAGAAATTATTTCATGCTTCAGAGCTTCCAGTTCGTAGGAGATCCGGAATAATGAAACTTATCCATACAATTTACAGCCAGACAGACATTGTTCAATTAGATTTAGTGTACTAAATAGATTTGATTTCTTTCCTGCGCCCGATTTTTATGTTCTTAAACTGATTGGCTCCTTAAAATGTAACATCCCATTTGAAAACTAATGGAAGCTAACTGAAGCTCGACTTTATCGCAAACCCCTCTAATCTTCAACACAGTGCTCTCTCAAAAGGTACTGCTTAAAAAGTACACCGTAACAACTCCTGTTAAAAAGCAAACTATAAATTTTATTGATTGAAGTTTACAAAATGTGACACTGGTTGATGCAATCCTGCAATCTTCTCTTCAAATGACTCACCAGTTTGCCAATTCACTTGGTCAGACGTGTGGGGACTGTTTGATCACAAGATCATAGCCAGCCAGCCTGTAGATTCTATCCAGGGGTACTATTTCACACTCCAAAAATATTGAACAATTAACTGAAACAGTATAAAATTAATAAGTAATGACATTACAAGACATGATTTAATATTTTGTAGAGATTCCACTGAAGAATTGAGTCCAGGATTTCACTGGTGCAGTATTTTCACAGCTTTGATTTGCATTCTTTTAACATAACTTGTTTCATAGGACAGTTACAATACATGGATTACTAGCAGGATCATACTTATTAATTTGATGCAGTTTTAGCTGAAAATGCCAGGTTGTAGTGGGTCTGAAAAATTAGTGGCCAGAATGCAAAGTAGCATAGTTTTAGATCAGCTTGCAATCCAATGAAGAGCAGATCTCAAATCTCTTCTGTGCAATCACAATATCACCAACTCGTTTTTTATATATTTTAAATATTTTCAAATATTGTCTGTGAACTTGAACGTGGCTATTTTTCCTCAACTTATTTTAATTAATTTGGGCCTTCCACAATGTTGATCACTGTTAGCACAACTCCCTTTGTCCAGTGTAGAATTTATACTCAGTGCCACACTCTCCTGGCTGATAACCACATGAAGGTTTTAAAAATTCTGACTGGGACAAAAAAATACTGCCTATGAAACACTCAACTAGACATGGCAGCACGCAAAATGGCTCTCATTGCCCACTAAAGACAGAAGAATGCTATTCCTGTTCATATGCTTCCTCTCCTCATGCACAGAGCTCAGTTGTAGTTACTTGACCCAATATTCTCATCATTAGCTGCCTTCTCTTAAACATCCCCCTCACAACGTTACCTGTCTTCCCAACACTCTTCAAAGTGTTTGGTCACATTTCTTCTCCAAAGTGTACATTGATATATACACCATCCTGACTTGTGATTAAAATATTGTTCCAAAATCCTGGAGCTCCCTCCCTAACAGCAGGTGGTTCAAGAAAGCAGGTCATCTTCTCAAGGACAACTATGATGTACATTAATAGGTTAGCCAGTGATGCCCACAACTTGTGAATTAATAAACAAAATTGAAATCCTCTCTTCCTCTCACCCCAACAAAAGGATATACAATCTTCCATATGTAATTCATACTCTGAACAGACAAGCCCTCATACTAGCACCCAGGGTCCCCCACTATGGGGATATAAATTTGCCAGAGAAGATACATCAACTGACAAGCAAATCTCTCCCTCCTCCATCAAGTGCTCTGAGGCTGGTTGAGAAGACTGAATTGAGTTGTGAAACATTGATCATTTCCCTTTGGGACACACTGGTATCATTCAATCCCAATGTAGTACACTCTACTCCATACCCCTCCTTCTCTGTGGTGGAAAATTCCTCCATGTTTTGTACTGCTGGGGAACTTTGAAGTCAGGAACTGTACTTCAACCTCCTGTTACTCCAACCCTGCCATCACCCAACCCCACACCTCCACCTCCCTCATTTGCTACAATCAGTGGCTCAAACAGATCTCAAACCATGCCCTGCTCCTGTGTAGGATCTACCCCAGTTTACTGTCAAGGATAGCTCATATAATCTCTTAAACTGTTACCATCATGTATACTAGAATGATGAGCAGGATCTTAAAGAAATTCAGAAACTGTGCAGAATTCCTCAAAATGGCTTTAAACCTAGTGTCAATCACTTAGTTCTCAACACTGCATCAAATGATAAGCAGTGTAGGATCCTGTAGATCCAATCCTATTATGAAAGAACTTAAATATATCACTCCCTTTAGTTTGACGTCAGGGGTTTCAATGGAGTATGGATATGACTCATTTCTTCTGCTAAGTGGCCCGGTTTATCTTGGGGTTCCCTAAAGAGTTTGTTCAGTTCAGGAACTACCTTGACCTTCTTGGAATGGTGTGCTTAACTTATTGAAACAATTACTCCACAGTAGCCCTTGTGTCTTCCAGACTGAAGGAAAATCGAGGGCTTTTCACTTCTATTATCAGATCCACCAAGTTAACACCCGACAATGTTGCAAATTTTCCTACCCATCTTATGGCTCCGGAATTTCAAACACAGGCCTGTAATTTGGGTTGTCTGATGGCATTAGGGCAATTGAAGATACATCATAGTGAACAACAGCAAATTCCTACCACGTACTTACAGCCTAAATAAGTAACACTACCAAGAGACAAAGTCAAATCTTTTCAGACGACAGTTGGTCTTATTCCATTTCCGGTTTCCCCAGTGTTTGGTGTTGTTGTCTGGCCTTGGTGGGGGAATGCTTCCTCTTGGTGTTAACCAAGAGCAGTGCTCTTGGGAATTTTGGTTACAGCAACACACGAGCATTGCCAAGACCAGATATTGTAGAAAACAAACAGTACTATTGCTTGACACAGTCAAAGGTAACAGCTCAAGCATAGAATGATGGGTATTCATTAACAAAAAAAATCACATTCAGTGTTCTCTGGTCCAGTAAAAAGGGTTCTTCTTTTGGGAATCAAAAAGCATTAAGAAATGAGTGTGGATCTCAAAATATCTTCATGGGTCAGTGGCCTCAAAAGGTCCCAGTAAAATGTGAAAATACATACTTTCCTTTGTTCAGGCTGAAATCAGGTTATCACCGTTTCCAACAGGCCCAGGTCTTCCAATATTTGTATAAAATTTTTTGCACTCCCAAGTTAATTTCTCTCCTGAACAAAGACAGTTTCCTGTGGGCACAGCCCAGCTTCCTGCAGTGTAGTTTCATAGTCCAAATGGGAAAGCTTTCTGCGTGGGAAGTTGGTAACCAGCTCAAACCGCTCATTTGGATATCCCTTCGACTGGATATGTTTTACCAGTGCCTGGGAGAAAAACAAGGAAAGATATTGATTAGTGTTACAGGTGACAACCTTACACAGGAGCTACACAGCTATCTCCACAATACAGTTTGACAACGAACCTCAATCTCATAAATGGCAGTGTTGTGCTGCAGTTAATCTTGAACTCTACTTCACAATGAATCTGTTGTCAACCCTAAAGGACATCTAGCAGACCTCCTTCCCCAGCATGTGTTAGCAGGCAATACAGTGTAGAAGACAGTCACTGCATCAGTGTCTGCTGTCCCATAACTTAATGGTCATCAAACATATACATGTTGATGTCTAAGCCAGAGTAATCAACAGCACAGCGACTGCGCAACTTTCATAGTCATGTTCCAAAGGAGTCATATTGGTTTGAAACATTAACTCTGTTACTCTCTCCACAGATGCTGCTTGACCTGCTGAGTTTGTGTTTATTCTGTGTTTATTTCAGATCTTCAGCACCTGTAGTATTATGCTTTCATTCTAATGCAACTTACATTGTTGATCACATGTGGCACAGACAAAAACAAAAGGTACATCCCATAGGAGATGTGAATGGCAAGAATGAAGAACCAACAACAGAAACTTCAGAAAAACCAGTTAAAGCCAAAATCTGCAAACAAAAGGGAAACTAAATGGGGGAGGGAGGTTGGGTCTGAAACTGCTGAACTGGTACCCTAGTATCATTCAAATGGATACAGAACTGGCTCGAAGGTAGGAGACAGAGGGTGCTGGTGGAGAGTTGCTTTTCAGACTGGAGGCCTGTCACCAGTGGTGCAACGCAAGGATCGCTGCTAGGTCCACTGCTTTTTGTCATTTATATAAATGATTTGGATGTGAATATAGGAGGTATGGTTAGTAAATTTGCGGATGACACCAAAATTGGTGGTGCAATGGACAGCCAAGCAGGTTACCTCAGACTACAACAGGATCTTGATCAGATGGGCCAATGGGCCGAGAAGTGGCAGATGGAGTTTAATTAGACAAATGTGAGGTGCTGTAGTTTGGAAAGGCAAATGAAGGCACGACTTATACATTTAATGGTAAGGTCCTGGGGAAGAGTTGCTGAATGAGGAGACCTTGGAGTGCACGTTCATAGTTCCTTGAAATTGGAGTTGCAGGTAGACAGGGTAATGAAGGCGGCATTTGGTAAACTTCCCTTCATTGGTCAGCGCACCAAATAGAAGTTGGAAGGTCATGTTGTGGCTCTACAGGACATAGGTTAGGCCATTTTTGGAATACTGCATGCAATTCTGGTCTCCCTGCTATAAGAAAGATGTTGTGAAGCTTGAAAGGGTTCAGAAAAGATTTACAAGGATGTTGCCAGGATTGAAGGGTTTGAATCAATACAGTGTGGAGCAGGAGGAACGCCCATCAGGAGTCCTAATGAAGGGCATAAACCCGAAATGGTGACTTTCCTGCTCCTCTGATGCTGCCTGACCTGCGGTTTTCCTCCAACTCCACAATGCATTGCCTGTGACTCCAGCATCTGCAGTTGTTGCTATATTGGTGGGTTTGAGTTATAGGGAGACGCTGAATAGGTTGGGGCTATTTTCCCTGGAGTGTCAGAGGCTGACAGGTGACCTTATAGAAGTTTATAAAATCAAGAGGGGCAGGATACGGTGAATAGTCAAAGTCTTTTCCCCAGGGTAGGGGAGTCCAAAACTATTGGGCATAAGTTTAAGCTGAGAGAGGAAAGATTTAAAAGGTACCTAAGGGGCACTTTATTACACAGGGGCCCTGGAATGAGCTGCCACAGGAAGTGGTGGAGGCTGGTACAATCACAACATTTAAAAGGCATATGGATGGGTATATGAATAGGAAGAGTTTAGAGGGATAATTTAGGATATCAGGTCAGCATGAATGAGTTGGACCGAAGGGCTTGTTTCCATGCTGTACATCTCTATGGCTCTATGAACTGGTAAAAGGTCTCCAGAGGCACAGCTAAGTTTGTCAATAATTGTCCAGTTGGATATTGGTTTGCATTTCAAGAGCTCACAGAATGGACACTTTGTTCATCCAACATTCTGGCTTGATGAGAATCCTGGGTAATGCTGCAGGGACTCCCCTGGTTTCAATGCTGAACGTTTTACTTGCATATGCAGAATGGATATATAGGGAAATGCACTCTTCTGATTCAACATTACAGTACAACTGAGGAAAAATGCAATTTTAGATCCAGTGTAATTTCTAATAAGCAGAGAGAATCAAATAGAAGATGTTGTAGCTTGTCTCCACAAGATGCTTCAATACATTCGTGATAAGATGGGCTTATGACTAGGTCATCACATTTCCTCCAAATTATCTGAGGTTACAGCTCTTCAGCTCCCCACAGTTAAGATCTACAGCTGCAGTAGATCAGAACGGTTGATCGAGTCATTATGATGTTGCTGGTTCAGCTATGAGTACTGAATGACATTCTCCTACTTTGCCACAAGCCCAGGAAATAGGCAAAGTAATTACTGACCAGTAGTTTTGCTTGAGCCGGGAGTGCAATCTGTTCCCTTTGTCCATTTGGATATCGCAGCATCAGACTTGCCTTTGGTCCTGTTTTAAGACAATAACATAAGATGACATTATATTCCTTGCCATACGCCAGTCAGTACAGTGCTAGCTCAGTTGTTATATGATTCCTGTTAGCCAACAATAAGGTTTACCAGCCAATTCCTTCCAGGAGTCCTAAGTGTACTTGGGAACAGGGACAGGAGGAAACCTAAACGTCAATAGAGAACCTTTAATCCACTCCTTCCAAATCTGGATTGTTTTGTAAGCCACTGCAAACTTCAAGAAAAAGGAAAATTACAAAAATGTTAAGCAAGTGAAACTGCAGAGAGATCTGCTGCCAAAAAGGCAAGTTAATTTAAGACCATTTCTGAGGCCAGCAGCGGTATAGTTAATGCAGTTAAATTGGGGCATTAATTTGGGGTATCAAATATCTTTGCAATTATTTTCATCCACATAGTATTAAGGAATGAATGTTGATGTTTTTGCTTGGGGTGTCATTTGTTTAATAGGGATTATTCATTGTAAACCGCATAGAAGTCCAGCTTAGCAGTTCGGAAGAATCCTATAACTGTTTTACACACACAGATGAGGTCCTTTTCTCCTCAGTTGCAATACACTTTTCCCAGAAGCACAGCAGAGCGATAATGTCACTGGACTAGCAATCCAGAGACACTGGCTAATATTCTGGGGACATGCGTTTAAATCCCACCATGGCAGATAGCAAAATCTGAATTTAATAAGGATCTGAAATTAGAAACTAGTCTAATGGAAATTATAACCATTGATGTTTGCTGTGAAAAAAGATCTAGTTAACTAATGCCTTTCAGGGAAAGAAATCTGTCATCCTCACCTGGTCTGGTCTGCATGTGACTCAAAACCCACAGCTTTGTAATCTGCTCTTAACTGCCCATTGGCTAATTAGAGATGAGCAATAAATGCTGAGCTAGCCAGTGATGCCCACATTCTATGAATATTGAAAAAAATACCGTATACATGTGTATGAGAGAGTCACATAAAGAGAGAGATTCCTTTTCCTGGGAGACCTCTTTTACGGTGGGGTGGAGGGGCTCTACAACTTTTTTTGGTGCTATATCATTTTAATATTCTATAATCTACCCAAAAAACTAAAGCAGGATCAGCACTGTAGAGCTTTTATCTGTCAAGATTTTACTTCTGTTAGCCGATGACCACAAATATTCTTTTCATCCTTTTTTTTATTTCAACAAATACACTGGATATTGTAATTTACCTACAGCCAGCGATGTTACTGAAGTTACTCAAAACAAAAATTGGCTATTCAGCCTAATCTGTTCATGCTTGCATTCATGTCATACTCAAGCTTCTATCCTTCCTCATGTAATTTGATCTGCATACCACTCTATTCTCCCTCATGTGCTTATCTCCTAAATTCATCTATACCATTCACTTCAACCATTCCCAGTAGGAGCAAGTTTCACATTCTCAGCCCCAACACACAAAGAAATTTTTCTTGAATTCTCTATTTGATTTCTTGCTATCTTATATCAACAACCTTTAACTTTGCTTTTTCTCCCCACTTGTGGAAACACCCTCTGTGGCTATAGATGTCCCTCAAGAATTGGTATGGAACAGTTGCTTTTTAATACTTTTATTTAGCATCTGGAAGTAGCATTGGTGGCACAATCAGAAATTTGCAGATGATCTGAAAATCCGAATGTTTTAGGACTTTAAATGATGCTCAGCAGATTCAGGCAAATCAAAGTGTTGGACATTGGCTCATGATTGAAAAATGATATACAACTTAGAATAGTGTTGGATCATGTATGTGGAGCGCCTCAATATATACACGTCCTTCAGGAAAAATCATTGCTGAAAATGGAGAAAAGTATGTGAGCATTCTAGTGTATACATCTATAAAAGATAAATGAACAATACTGTGAAACATTAACGAGAGGTTTGGAGCAGATAAAGTGTTGGGTGGATTTGGTGTTCTCAAGTGGTGGTGATACTGAAAAGGTATAGGTAAGGACTACTAGACTAATTCCCATTATAAAGCATCTTGGTTATCAAGATAAATTAAAAATATTGGAACTCTACACCTTAAAATGATGCAGAATTCAGGGGTGGTCTAATCAAAACTGATAGATTCTGTTTGAGTTGACAATTTATTCCAATTAAAATATTAGAAAGACCAAACGTTCCATCTTTAACTTGTGCAAGATCTAGATTCAATATTAAATAGCTGTTCTTTAACCAGAAAATACTTCTATAACTGCCACCTTATACAATGGACATTAGTTCACTGAGTTCCTTCAGAGTTGTAACTCTTTATGGCTGGGTCAAATATAATCTCTTACAAAATATAGGTACATCACGGAATTCAAAACCAGTGTTATCTACTAGACTGAGGATAAATCAGATTGTATCCCAAAATGGCCTGAGTTATTTTCTACTTCTGTCGCTGTCCCAGAGACCATCTGATGCTAGGAATGATAGTGAATGATATAATAATACACAAGGTACTGCAATATGTGGGTCAGGCAGGATGGGTTAAAAAGGTGTTACCTGTCATTACTTATATGTTCATTTTCTCATACGTCTTTTTTTCACTCTCTCCAGTGCCTCAATATCCTTTAGATAAACGGATCACCAGTACTATATACAATATCTCAAGTGTAGTCTAACCAAGATTCAACATAAATTTAGCAATTATTCAGACCTTTTAATAGATTTGTTTTGTATATATAACCTTTTTGTGAATCACAAATATTAAATTAGTTCTGATATATGCTGAACTCACAAGCAATGGTGTGGTTGTGAATGATTCCAAGTTTCTCATAAGACTTTAAAACTGGGGCTTGTCTGCCTGTTCAGGTGTGTAAAGATCCCAAATACTGCTCAAAAAAGAGCAGGAGGGGTCTTCCAATGACAAAATTAACAAAATTAAAATGGATTCATGCATCAAAATCTCATTGCTAGTCGTGGTATCCTGTTGTATACAAAGTAGCTGTTGTTTGCCATAAAGCAACATCTATACTTGAATACCAATTCATTGGTTCTGAATTGCTTTGGAGTTTTTCCTAAGGATGTGGAAGATGATATAGGCAAGCTCTTTACGTAATAATTTTGCACTGCAATGCATACAAATTGTGGATGAAGGACTCTAGATTCATCACCTGTCTGTAATGAGGTCTGGTGGCACAATGTGGAGGGCCTGGTACCGCATAGTTTAAAGTGACACTAGCTTATGAGTCGTGCAGCTAGAAATTAATGATTGTAAGAGGGTCACCAAAAAGCATTCAGAGTTGCTCAATCTTTGATTAGTACAAGGGAGTGTTCCAACATTTACAAACACTCAATCTATTTAACCTCTAGTATTCATAATAATTGTCTAATTAAAGCGCTTAGAGGAAGGAAGCAAATGTACTACAGCCAAATTTGCAGACAATACAAAATAAGCAGAAAAGCAAGCTGTGAGAGATGTACAGTTTACAGAGAGATATTGATTGGTTAAGTGGCAAATGGAGTATAATGTGGGGAAAATACAAAGTTGTTCATTTTATTTAAATGGAGAAAAACTGTAGAAAGCAGAAACACAAAGGGACTCAGGGATACTTGCACATAAAACACAGAAAAGCTAGCACACAGGTGCAGCAGGTAATCAGGAAGGCTAATGGAATATTGGCCCTTATTTCAAGGAGGTTGAAGTATAAATGTAGGGAAGTCTTGTGCAACTGTACAAGGTGATGGTGAGACGCATCTGGAGTATTGTGGGCAGTTTTGGTCCCCTTATTTAAGGAAAGATATTGGAGGTAGTTCAGAGAAGGTTCACTAGGATGATCCCCGGTATGGAGGGTCTATCTCCTGAGCAAAGGCTAAACAGGTTTGGATTCAACTCACTGTGGAATTTAGAAGAATGAGAGGCTATCTTGTCGAAATGTAAAGGATTCTTAAGGGGCTTAACCAGGTAAGTGCTGAGAGGTTGCTTCCCCTCATGACAGAGTCTAGGACCAGAGGGCATAGTCTCAGAATAAAGGGGCACCAATTTAAGACTGAGATGAAGGGGAAATCGCTCTCTCAGAGAATTGTGCATCTTTGGAACTCCTTGTCCACAGCAGTGGGGGCAGAATCCTTCTGTAAATTTAAAGTTGAAATGGATTGATTCTTGATCGGGGAGGGGGGGGAAAGAAGAGCTTGGGGAAAACACTGTAAAGTTGACATGAGAAATATCAGATCAGACACGATCATATTGAATGGCTGCTCCTGTTTCTATGTCATATGGTCTTACAAAGAAGGTGGTAAGAAAGCCAAGAAATGAAAAAGAGACTCAGAAGCTTACAACAATCTAGACAGCTGGACTGATCTACACCATTTTGTAGAACACAGAGGAAAGATCCATTGTCCTTATTTTGACTCAAACTCACAGCAGATTTTGTCCCCATGCTTAACGCAAGCTCATTTTCATAAACGAGCTCATCAACCAATTCACCAACCCATACTATATGGACTATTGTATTTCATGATTTGGAGTGACATGTAAACAGATGGACAGACATGTAATATTGACAGGATCACAGATTAAGATCACAAAAAAAATTGGGTAAAATTAAGATTAAACAGCATTTTTCTAGGCTACAATATATTGTAATTCAATTTGTTTTTCAAATTAAAGATCAAGAATTCTTTCACAGTGCTATCTGGTTTGGGCCAGACATTGCTTAATCAGATATAATTTTCCAATAAAGCTTTTCAAAATTTTTTGCATATTTGCCAAACTACAAAGAGTATGTCATGTTGCAAACAGTGTGTCATAGTCTACAGAATGATAAAGGTTCAAAAGTTCAGAAGGGCAGACCTTTTTGAAGCCTGGTTCAAACAATCTACCCATTCTCAAGCATAACTAGTTAAACAAGGCCCCCTAACGGAGAGAGAACTGAAGCATCAGCCACTTCAGTAGCTGTTTCATCTGGAATAAAGTTTACTGTAAACATGAAAGTATCAAAGTTTAATTTTAGAAATGTATGCCCTATCACCTAGAATGGTGAATTTTAGATCCTACTGGC